ACAACAGGAAGTCTATAAACTCATGGAAACAACAACTATCTACTGAATGAAAAATGGGGAAAGATAGAAATAAAGAAATTAAAGACTTTCTGAAATTCGATGAAAATGAATACACAGTACACTCAAACTTATGAGACACAATGAAAGTGGTGTTAAAAGGAAACTTCATGGCATTAAGGGCCTAAGGCAGAGGCAGGCAGACCTCTGTGAGTTCAAGGCCAGCTTGGTCTACAGAGTGAGTGCCAGGATAGGCTCCAAAGCTACACAGAGAAAACCTGGAGCAATTAGAGACACAAGGGGCACACCTAAGATATAATAAACACAACTCACATAAAACCTATAGCCAACATCAAATTAAAGGGAGATAAATTCAAAGCAATTCCACTAAAACCAGAAATAAGACAAGGTTGCCCACTCTCTCCATATCTATTCAATATAGTATTTGAAATTCTAGCAAGTGCTATAAGACAACTGAAGAAAATCAAGGGATTACAAATTAGAAAAGAAGAAGTCAATGTATTGTTACTTGTAGATGATCTGATAGTATACATAAGTGACCCTAAAAAGTCCAACAGGGAGCCAGGCAGTGGTTGCTCATGCCTTTAATCCCAGCATTCAGGAGGCAGAGGCAGGTGGATATCTGGGAGTTAAAGGCCATCCTAGTCTACAAAGCTAGTTCCAGGACAGCCAGAGATATTGCAGAGAAACTCAGTTTCAAAAAATCCACCAGGAAACACCTACAACTGATGAACACTTTTATCAAAGAGGCTGGATTAAGTAGTCCTCCTATATACAAGTGACATACTGAGAAAGAAATCAAGGAAGCGATACTTTTCACAATAGCCTACAATAATACAAAGTATCTAGTATCTTGGGGTAACTCTAATCAAGCAAGTGAAAGACTTGTACTTGTATTATAAAAACGTAATTCAAAATGACTAAGATCAGTGACATAAGTGACAGTTCATGCTGTCAAGGATGTGGAACAAGGGGGAACACTCCTCTATTGCTGGTAGGAATGCAAACTCTTACAGCCACTATGGAAAACAATATGGTAGTTCCTCAGAAAATTAGGGATTGATCTACCTCAAAACCCAGCTATACTATTCTTGGTCATATACCAGTCCTACCACAAGGACATTTACTCACCCATGTTCATTGTGGCTTTATTCATAATAGCTAGAAATTGGAAACAACTGAGATGTCCCTTAACAGAAGAATGGATAAACAAAATGTGGAATATTTATACAATGGAGTATCACTCAGCTGCTTAAAAAAATGACATCATGAAATTTGAAAATAGATGGATAGAGCTAGAAAAAAAATATCCTGAGTGAGGTAACCCAGACTCAGAAAGACAAATATGGTATGTATTCACTTATAAGTGGATATTAGCCATTAAGCAAATGATAACCCAGCTACAATCTGTAGACTCAGAGAGGTTAGGTAAAGAGGAAGGGTCTAGGGGGCAGCACACAGGAATCTCCTTGGGAGGGGGAAATAGAATACATTTTATGTGCTGGGACAGGAGAGGTAGGGATCAGGTTGTGAGGAGATGGGATGAAGGGAAAGAGTGCAGGGAGAGATGACTGGAATTGGAGGGGCATTTGGGTGGTGATGTGGAAGCCTCGTGCAGTGGGAACCTCCTGGATGCTATGATGATGATCCTAATGAAGACTCCTAGTAACAGGGATATGGAGTCTCAACTGGTCATCTCTTGTAGTCAGACAAGCCTTCTAGTGGAGGGGCTAGTGGATCTCATTGGAAAACTCTAAACAACCCAGGGTAATGCTAAGAAAAAGGGTCACTCTCTGAAATGATAGCAGTGTCCCATTGCCAAGGACAACATCTACACAACTCATTGAACACGGAGAAGTTAAGCCGGTGCCTGTATGGAGCCTTCATCCTTACATCTTAGTCTCTTTGGTGCTGGACAGTACTTAGTAGGCTACTGAAAGGGAAACATGGACATCAACCCACCCACAAAACCTTTGACCTACAATCTGTTCTGCCTACAAAATACCCTAGGGAAATGGTGGCACTGAACTTATAGGAGTAGACAACCGATGTCTGATTTGACTTAAGGTCTCCTTCATGAGAAGGAACCCATACCTGACACTGCTTGGGTAACTAAGAACCCAAGACTAGATAACCCAGAGACCTAGGATAAAACTAAAAACAACTGGTCTAAAAAGCACTAAGGAAATAAATCAATAAAATGGTTCCTCTTAATATTCTGCTATACCATAGCAGAATACTATACTATTCATAGTTCATTGATTACCCAGTCATCAACAGAGAGGCTTCCTCTAGCAGCAGAGGGGGACAGAAACAGAGACCCACAGTCAGACATTAAGTGGAAAAAGAATCTATATTGGAGGTATCCCATCAAATCTCTCCCCTAAGAATTCGAGGGACCTCCTTCAGAAGAGGAGGCCGAAAGACTGTAAGAGTCAGAGGGGATGGAGGATACAAGGAAAACATGGCCCTCTGAAATAACAAAGCAAGGAGCATATGATCTTACAGAGACTGAAGCAGCAAAGACAGGGTATACCTGGGTCTGCACCAGGTCCTCTGTGTAGATAGAATAGCTATTAGCTTAGTATTTCACAGGACTCCTAACTAGGAAAAGGCATGGGTCTCTGACTCTTTCACCTGCTCTTGAGATTGTTCCTCCTATTGGGTTGCTGAGTCCAACTTCAATACAAAAGCTCTTGCTTCATCTTACTATATTGTGTTTTATATTTTAAAAAACTACATTGTGAAATGTCTCTGAATGAATCTCCAATGTTCCATCACATTGACTCTCCCTAAATTTCTTTTCTTTGAAGAAACCACATAGCAGGCTTTGTCCAGAATGGAGGGCCTTGGGAGAACAGAGATCTCTTCAGGCAGCTGTGGGGGGATGGAATGGAGCTGAACCTCTGTCTCTACTACCTGACATTGTCAGGTCTGTCTTGTTGTAGAGTGTGCTCCTCTTCAACACGAGCTTCATCAAGATTTGAAGCTTCCTAGGAGTTCAGGGAGGTGGCTACAGCTACCTGTAAGGGTATAGGATGGCATAACTACCCTCCACCATTGATTAGAGGTCTGTTGTTTGAGGTGGAGGAAGTGTAGTGAGTTCTGGAATGAAAGCAATGTAAGAACCAACAGTTTTGAGAGCTTTGAGAATCTCTCTGCCAGATATCTTTTCACCCTTGGGATATAGATTAGTTGAACCGAAATTTGTTTTTAGGTTGACAAATGTCTCCCCCATCCAAAATGAATGATTCATTGATATTAAATCGAAACTCTCATCTGTACTCAATTTGAAGTGTGCACTTTGTGACATCAACCAAAGCTTAAGCACTCTGAAACTTATTTTTATTTTAAGTTGTGTGTATGTACTTTGTGGTTTTCTGCACTTTAGTGCATGTGTTCACGGAGATCAGAAGTATTAGATCCCCTAAAACAGGAGTTATAGCTGTAATCATCACAATGTGGGTACTTGGAGTCTACTCAAGTTCTCTTTGGAGAAGTACTTGCTTTTAACTACTTATCTCCAGCATAAGTACAAACATTGCAGATCCCTACAGACTACAGATTTGATGTGTATTTTGTCACTATAAAGAACATCTTTTTTTGCAATTTCCATGCTATATGAATAAATTGAAGGATTCTTGAAGTAAGGCATTAGAAAGCATCAATTCCTCCTTAAAAAGGAGACTTAGGAAATTAGTATTTGAATACAGGGCAAACCCTCCGAACATAAATCTGTGCCAGTGGCAGGATGCCTGGCACTGAAGTTTTATTGAAAGAATCAACTTCCAATTCAAGTGAATATAGATGGACTCTGAGCCACTTTTAGTCTTCATAACTTCTACCATGAACTTCAAGGAAGATCCTATATAAAATAGGGATGAATCATGGCTGTATCAGACACAGTTGTCCCAAGAATTTAAATATTGTATTGTAAAGCATGTAGCCACTGTCTGGTGCCTAGAAAACAGTAAATGTTAGCTTCAGTGACTATGATCTGAGCTGCATGGCACAATTTCAGAACTGATGCAATGGGTCCAGAGTCTCCCTACCCCAACCCTAGCTTTCAATTATTCCCTGTTTCTTCACCAGGATGCCATGCCTAGCTGATCTAGATTCCCACCAACTCCATCAGCTACCATAGATCAATAATCCCCCTAAGTCTGGCTAGTAGTAAATCCCCCGGGGAATCTCATATAAAGGGATGGGTGTCCTCCATCTTCAAGCTCTTCCACAGCAGAGGGCACACATAAGGAGAGGGTCTAGACCCTGCCCTGGATGAACACCCCCATGGAGGGCCTCACCCTCCCTGGGGAAATGAGGGGATATTGGAGGGGTTGGTGGGAGGGCATGGGAAGAGGGGAGGGAGAGCAAGAGGGACCTGGAATTTATATGTGAAGCTACCTTGTTTCTAATTTAAATTTAAATTTAAAAATAAAAATTTTAAAAAAAGACTGGAGTGTTGGGGGAAGTCCTGTTATTTGCCTGTGGATTTGTCAATAAAGTACTGTCTAGCCAATAGAAAACCTAGATAGGAGGGACTAGGAGTCGAGGAGGATTCTGGGAAGGGGAAACACAAGAGAGTTCAAGATGTAACGCATGGGGTAGGAGCCCGGAACTATTCTCCGGTAAGAGACATACTTGGATTAACAATTATGGGGTAATTACTTAAGGCAGAGGTAGCCAGTAAGAGACAAGCAAGGCCAACAGCTTCATAATTAATACAGCGTCTTGTGTGTTTATTTGGGACTCATGCGGCTCTAGAACCAGGCTGGCGCGGCAGAGCCCAGGCGACTGGCGGGGGGATAAACCAAAGCGGCTAGCAAGGAAAAAGCTTCTCTTAACACTGGAGAATCACAGATGTCATTTTTTGAACCCATCTAAGGATCCTGCACCTAGATTGTACTTATGACTGCCTTGTTCTTTATGTCCTACAGCATCCCATGAGAAGGCCTCTGATTGCTGAAACACAAGGTTTTTACCTGGTTTGGGTGTCAGTGTGTCTGCTGGTGGTGGAGAGTCTGGTTGATTTTGGAGCATCTGTGAGTCTTGTTGAAGTAGTTGTGGATGTTATGATCATTGTGAGTCTCCTTGGAGGACTTGTTGGAATTTCTGGATTTGGAAATCAAGATGAAACAAGAATGAGTCAACAAGAAGGAACAAGAGCTTCTGTTGTAGCACAAATGAGAGGCTGTCCCCAGAGAGGCTCTTCTCCTGAACTTCTCTCCTTTGTCACTGAGCAACTACTACAGGGCAGGGCAGGGCTGTGGGGACAGCTCACCAATAGGAGGCAGCTGCACTGATGACATGGAGATAAGAACAGAACCCATGTTCCTAAGGACAGTATAAATGGCAGTTGTCAGGTCCTCAGATCTCTAAGCATCTCTGTGAGACTGAGAGGGTATGAGGGACTAGGATTGCTCTCATTGGTGACTGACTTTATCCACAGTTTCCATATGCAGCATGCTCATTTTACTCAGTCCTGAGAGAGCATACCACACAGCCCTGCGTCTTAGCTGAGGGATAACTAGGCCCACTGCCCTGTGAGAGATCCCATGCGTGGCCAAACAAAAGGATTTGCACATTTGGGTAGAGCATAGACGTGTTCATGTAGTCTCCCAATCTAAGAGATACTGGGTGAATATCCCTATCCAAAAATGCTTGATAGCAGGAGTTTCGGGATTTGGATATTTCTGAAAATTTCTGCATGCTGGCATATAGCTAATATCTTATGCATGAGGCTCAAATCTAAATATAAATTGGTATAGCATGCATATGCATACACTTTACATATATAGCTTAAAGGGAAGCTTATAAACACTTGCTAGTTCTGTGCATGAAAAGTTCATGTTAATGAATTTTCCAGGTGAATTATCAAGTCTGTGCTTGGAAGGCAGCAGACTTGAGACTTTTGGATTAGGAGGATTCAACCTGTAGTCACAAATCAGCAGCATCAGACTACTCTTGGTCTCAGTGTGCACAGAAATCCAAATTGAGGGAAAGTGGTACCCAGAAGGGAACAGTGAGGACTCCAGCAGGAGCATACAATGCTTTTGTCAGCTGACACATTCCCCATAAGCCACTCCCTTAGATCCTAACTCTGCTCACAGAGAAAATAAACTAGGGTTGATTCCTTAGAAAACACTTCTCTCTAAGGGATGCAATGTAATTTGGAATCTAGATTATTTTCTTTTTCTTCAAAAAATGAAAGAGATCTATGTTCCTGTTGCAGGGAACTAATGAACGTATATAGGTCAACACCCCTTTAAAATTTGGGATTACATGTATTTCTCGTGTGTGTGTGTGTGTGTGTGTGTGTGTGTGTGTGTGTGTGTGTGTGTGTGTATGGATAGTTTGAGAGAGTTGGTTCTCTCTTTCTACCATGTAGAATCCTGGAATGAAACTAGGCTTGGTATAGGTTTATAATCCCATCACTCAGAAGGCAGAGGCAGTATGATCTTGATGAGTTTGAGGCCATCTTTATTTATACAGTGACATTGAGGTCCATCATATTTAATATACTGAGTTCCTGTCTCAACCATAAATACATAGGTAAGTAAATAAATAACAAAGGATTTAAAAGGAACAGAGTCAGCCTAGTATTTGGTTCTGTTGCCAATGTAAGCCCTTAGTCAAGGAGATTAGGGAATATCAGCAGAAGAAGGTACATTCTCATGATTCAACTGTTTTTTATGAAAGTGATGCCCACATCACAAAAGAAATTGTAATGATTTAAGAGCTGGGACTTTCATAAACTTCTTGCTAGTAACTACTGAACAGGTATAGGAAAAGAAAAACACATGTGGCCATATATGTATGTAAAAGGATAATTTCTGGGTTTTGCTGTTATTTTGTTTTGGGTTTCTTTGTTTGTTTGTTTGTTTTGTTTTATGTTTTTCGAGACAGGGTTTCTCTGTGTAGCTTTGTAGAACAGGTTGACTTCAAACTCAAAGAGATCTGCCTGCCTCTGCCTCTGCCTCTCAAGTACTGGGATTAAAGGCATGTGCCACCACCACCCAGGTAGGACAATTTTGTTATATGATATGAGAGCTATTTTAAAATCAGGACAGACATGGAGTAGAACTCTCCACTATACATGTGCCAGTGCTCAGCAAGGTCAGCTGACCATGTTGAAGCCAGCTCATCAGCACAGCAGCTCCCTGCATCGCCTGCTTTTCAGATTAGAGCTGTAGTGCTTCTACAGTGTAGGGGATGGGTGACTTACTGTCACAAGACATTAACACAGAGGCAGGGACACCTTTCATTCAAGTCATTTCAGCTTAAATAAAGCTCCTGCTTTGTTTCAGGATGGAAAGTGGGTCCAATTTCATGGAATAACAGAAATGTCCCAAGTATAGTTAGGACCTAGGTCCTGACCTAGCTTATAGTTTTGTATTAAGGTTGATATTCGGGCTTCATCCAAGCACACCAAAAGTATTCTGTGCCTCAAAAGAGAATTACTCAAGGTTGAGTTAGGTGGCACATGCCTGTATTCTCATGACTAGTGAGCTGGAGGCGAGAGGAAAAGGAGAGCATGGACATCAGAAGACAGAGATACATGGGGCTATGTCTTTTAAAATTTATCAAAAACAGGTGACAATCACAAACATGTTTATAAGAACTTTCATTTCCTTGTTGTAGGAAAAACAATTAGTAGCAAACAGAGAACTCCGTTCACTTGCAAGAAATAAGCAAAGAAATAAGGCCAGCTTACCTGGTTGAACTTTCAGTGAGATGGTCACTTTCTGTACGCCACTCATTCTCTTTATCTGGAGTTTACAACAGAAGAGGCCATTGTCACTCTCAGTGGCATTCTCTATTGTCAAAGACACATTTCCTAGAAGGATTTGCCCCATTAGTCGGTGTCATTTGTTTAACCGATTGGAGACACGGGGTTTTTCACTCCAGATAATTCTTGTCTATATGTATCAGAAGTACATGCTCCTTGGTCCCAACGCAGGGATGAAATTCCACTAGATACTGGATAAGTACATGGCAATGTGACAGAGTGACCCACCACTCCATGTACTTCTAGGAAAGAATCCACAGGACCGATGGTAAAGAGGGGGAAATGGAGAATGAACACTCAATAATTTACTTCAGTTTTCTTCTTATGACTGCATTTCTTTATCACTTTCCCTTTTTGACTTAGCCAATGATTAAACCTGAGCATGATGAATGACAAACATGTGCTCTATCATTGTGCTACAAACCCAGCCCTTCTTTGCATTGTTCTCTGTAGAATCTTGGTAGCTTAACGTTTTCACTATAAACAACTTTCTGTTAATATACTCTCCTCCAGTGTAATTATGTAGTAGATATATGTATGGATAAAACAACACACTGTATTATAGTCACACTTTCTTACTTCCTTTCTTTTTATTTTTAATTCATTTTTAACTTAATTAAATTAGAAACAAGTTTGCTTCACATGTCTTTCTTTTGTCTTTCTCTCTTTTTCTTTTTCTTTTTTTTTTTTCCTTTTAGAAACAGCACTCATTACGTAGGCCCAGCTGGCCTAGAAATCACTATTTAGACTAGAATAGACTAGACTAGAACTCATAAAGATCCACCTGCCTTCGCCTTCCAATTGCTGGGATTAAAGATGCCAACCACCATGTATGACATATTGGTTTGTTTTTAAGACAGGATCTTGCTGTGTAGCCCAGGCTGGCTTGACTTATGATTCCCCTATCTCAGACTACTGAGAGATGAGATTATAAGCTTGTTCCAATGAGACCATCTCTAATTTTTAAATTTTAAAAATTTAAAACTGCTGCCCTAGAATCTGTGGGTGTTGATGCATACTTGCAAAGCCAGAACTTGGGAGATAGAGGCAGAAAAGTCAGGAGTTCAAGGCCAGCCTTAGCCTACTAGTTAGTTCAAGGCCAGATGATGTCACTTGAGAGCTGATCTCAAACCACCCATTCCTTTCCCTCTCAAAGCTATTGACAATGCTATACAAAGAGAGGGCCAAGGTTTTGTTTACAGCATTGTTGAGTTAAAGACAGAACCTTTCTAACTTCAATATCAATTTTTTGAAGAAGATCTAGAACATCATTAGGAGGGGCTGAAGCTTTAGGATCTGTCTGTTTAAAAAAATCTAATCGGAATTCCTTCTTATATGCTGGTAACATTCTAGAATGGAACAATACTTTCTTATAAAGTGAGATCACAAAATCAGAATATTAAGTAAAAATCCAAAACATATGAGTTTTAAAACTAGAATAATGCCACAAGTTTGGAATGCAGTTGGTAAAAGCACATTCCTGATGCATAAAATGATTGTATACTATATACTGGGACGTATCTTACTTGATTTTTGCACAATACCTTTTCAGTACCACAAATGAAATACATGCTATTACAATAAAGTAATAGAAGCATTTGATAAGAATGAGCTTCCTTCTACAATCCCACCTCCCAGAGATTAGATTTTAGAATATGTGCCATTTGTGGGTATTCATGCCTGTAATCCCAGCTCTTGGGAGGTAGAGGCAGGAAAAGCAGACATGAGAGATCATGCTCAACTACATATGGAGTCTGGAGCCAATCCGGACCTTGCCTCAAAAAAATGTATTTACTATTGTCGCCTGTATCTTAAATCATTTTCAATTAAATAATTAAAAGCAATTTTAAAGTCTGGCGCTGGTGGCGCACGCCTTTAATCCCAACACTCGGGAGGCAGAGGCAGGAGGCTCTCTGTGAGTTCCAGGCCAGCCTGGTCTACAGAGTGAGTTCCAGGACAGGCTCCAAAAACAATGCAGAGAAATCCTGTCTCGAAAAACAAAAACAAACAAACAAAAAGGCACAAAGCTGTCACATGGAGGCTAAAGTATCCATTTGACATCTTTTCCTTATCCCTCAAGTGTATTCTGTCTTACTTGCCCATCACATGAGTGCCACCCCATGTCTGACGTACTTTTGTGGACCTTGTTTATTTAGCCATCACTTTTGAAATCCACACAGGTTCATTAGTCTCTTTGTAACTACAGCGTCCCCCTGGTTCTCTGCTCCCTACACAGTCAATAAGCTCCACAGGATGACTTTCTTTTTGACAGCTCTAGCCTCTGCAGCATTCCCAGCCCACCTACTCACCTGGGAGAAGGGGAATGACACCTGAAATGATGGCTTGAGGACGCATCGTGGTGCTGACCTAAAGGAAAATGAGAAGATACTCTGCTTGGCTGTGGCACTCAGCACATGGTATGTGGCCAAGTCTTAATTCTCAGAGGGCAACTTCCCATTTCCTGACCAATGTGAGGCACGTGACCTGCTCTGATGGGAATGCGAGAAAACTGTTTTCACATCCTTCTCCAGGGCTCTGTTGACCCCTAGGGGTGTAGGGCTCTGTGCATTCCCAAGTACATGAAAACCTGTCCTCAATACATTCTCTTCTTTAGCAGTCCCTCCCCACACATAGCCTTTAATGTCACCCTTGGTCTTAGTACAAATCCGAGATAAAAGCATGGAGTCTTCTAAAGACAAGGTGTATATGGCCCCTGGTGAAGAAGGCTGGTACTGCTCAGCAGTGGTTGGCCCAAGCCTCAACCAACTTCATCATTAGCAAGATGGACTGAGCAAGAAGGGGAAGCACTGTGGCTAAGCACTCACGCTGCCACACACAGTGACTGAGACCACATCTTCCTGAGGGATGCCGAGAGACACCTAGAAAAGCACTTGGTACAAATCCAAACCTTCCTGTTTACAAAGCTAGGTAACCGTGAGAGTTACAGGGCCCATCCATGCCTTATTAAATAGCATCAAGAATATTTGCTCAATCTTTTGAAGATTCTGCTGAATCTGCTGAAGCAGATTCTGGGCTACTTACTCACAGTACCTAATCCTCACAGAACCCCTGAGGCAGTATATTGGAAACCCACTGGTGAAGTGTGTGTGTTCAATTTCCAGCTTCAAGCTTTCAATTTTTTATGCAAGGTATAATGATATGAATTTCATATGTAGCCATGTATAATTGGATTGAGGTTATTTGATTAATATGTCTCTAAAAGACAATTCATTTAGTTTTATTAAAAACAAAGTTTTTTGGTTTTTGATTTTTTTCTTTAATTCTTATTGCAACATGTAAATGTGCATATAAATATGCAAGTACAAATTGGTCTGTTTGGAAACATGGCACAGTTATTAAGAGTACCAACCGTATTGCTAGAAGACCCAGGTTTGATTCCAAGTATCCACATGGTGGCTCACAACCATCTGCTCCTCCGGGTCAGGGGAACCTATGTCCTCTTCCGGTTTCCAAGGATATCAGGCACATATGTGGTACACAGATATACAAACAGGCAAAATACCCATACACATAAAATAATTTAAAATAAATAAATAAATACAACTTGCTGAGTCTGTTTAGTCTTGTTCATATGTATATGTTCTTATTGTTAACCATTTCATATTGGATAACTAATAAGGGAAATCATCCAGAGTGAAAACTCATTGTCCTTCTCTCTACAATTATTAATTGCCTGGAGCTCTTCATCTAAGAGCTCAATTTTCAAAGACTTCTCATACCCATGTTAAGGTGTCAACTGTTGTCACTGTTGTATGTTGTCATAGTTCAGGTCCTGTTTAGGCACCATGCATTTCAGGGAGAAGACACAGTACAGTGTCTCAGTAGACTATGGTCCTTAGGTTCTAAGAATCTTTCCAACCATAGTTACATGGTGTTATCTGAGCTGTGGGTGTATGGATGGATGGGTTATAGACATGTCAACTGGCACTGAGAACCCTATAATAAGTTGTCCTCTGAATTTTGGCCAGTTATAGCTTTTCGTTATGTTCCCGAGATGTGAGGACTACACTAATCTAGATCCAGGCCATACAGGCATAGCTTCCAACATGGACAAGCCTGCATGACTCACACTTCAAGAACTCCATTTCTGCTCTAAAGATCAGAGACTGACTCAGAGAGATGAGGGTGCCCCATCTCCAGCCTTCTTGAAACCAGTAGCAGCTGTCATGAATCCACTATGAGCACAGCATCCAAAGGGCTTGGACCCCCATCACTGTTTACAATAATGGTCTTTGTACTTGGAAGATATCTGGAAAACAAATGCTGCAAACTAATGGTCAAATACTGGGAGGGTTTTTTGTATGAAGTTGTTTGAAAATTCATCTTCCTTTTGAAAGACAACTTAAAAAAACACAGCCCACATGAAACTCAACATTTTGACTTTTTGTCAAATAAAACAAATTACCAACACATAGCACTAACCATTCTGCCCATTTAGAGTTCTACTGAGGAAGGGTCTCTTACACAGCCATTCATTGCCTAACACAGCCTGCTACCCTTCTTGACACAAACTGTCACTGAGCTATCTCACATGGGTGTCCTATGGCCTACTCACTCATAAAATGAAGGGGACAGTGGTGGTTTATAGCTTTCCAGATCCCCAAAGGAAACCTTCTCCACATTCTGAAATTCAACTGAGGAACTAGTTGAGATCTACCATGGAATAAGCACCTTGCTGGTGGCATGAAATCCTTTTAAATCTTTACATGTTTGAGAAGAACACGAGTCCATCTCAACTACTAAAGTTGAGCTGTAGTTCCCTGTAGAATTCACAACTGTGGAGACCCTGCAGGGTGACTGTGGAGGGATGGAAAGTTGAAGTTGAAGAACCACAAATATCATAAATTCTCTCCAGTCCCTCAGTAGCCATTTACTATGAACCTCTGCATCTCAGCTAGCATCCTTGTGACTATCAGGAACAACTTCTGGAACACATCGTTACATTTTCACACAGCTAGCTTCCACCTTTCTCCCAGGACACCTTCATCACAGTCTGTGCAAGTCTGAAGCCCTGGCCTCCAGCTCACAGTCTGGAGATACTTAGGTCTTGCACCTGGCCTCTGTCTTCATTTATGACTACTCCTAAGGGCTTAAGCTCTCAGAACTGAAAACCTATCTCAGCAACATGTTCTCCCAACGCCAAAGAGCTGAGGAAACTGAGGAGCCTCAGCAGGTCATCTCAGCTAGCTTCCACCAACCCTACAGCTAAGAATTATAGAACATCAGAGATCTATATAAGAGAGTTCTCCTGTGTCCTGTATGGCCAATGTTTCCACCAGAATCCTTGGTAAATGCATTGATTTATGACTTCCTTTTATCTATAAATGTTCATGTAACCTCTTCAACAGTGGAACATGAGATTCAGGATAAACTAACCCAAAATTTTCTTGTTCATATTCAGCACAAGATATTCTTTATTCCCTTGAAATAAGAACTGTATTTTTCTATTATATTTGTTTATATGTGGGAGGGAATGGGGCATAAGCATGCCACTAGGCATATACCAAGGTCATAGGACCACTACTAAGAGTTCATCCTCTCTTTCCAAAATATAGGTCTGAGAGATTGAAGTCAGGTCTTCAGGCTTGGTGATCAGAACCTTTATCTGCCACCTCACAGACTCCTGAGCTGTGGCTTACACTGACAAAAGGTAGGAGAACAATGTTAAAGTGGCTCATACCGAATTAGATCATGCCTTATTCATTTTGAACACAGGTCAACAGTAAGGGATGTTTGGGAAGTTTTGCACTTCTGTTGCATAGTTATCTGGAACAGATTGTAGTTTAGGGAATAGGAGTAAATACTACTTCTCATGAAACATCAATATAGGGGTTACAGCAAATGCCCTCTAGTTAAGAATGCCTACAATGTTACAGAGCATCGGAGAGAGTTTCCCAACACCCATGTGGGGAGGCTCACAACCACTATTCATAGAGATGCAGATGAAATCATTCCTTGGATACTTGTCCCCCCACACACATAACCACAAACAGACACACACAGATATACACAATTAGAGCAATAAAAAGAAATCTTTAAATTGATAATATGCTTATAAAATAATTTTGAGATCATAAAGATGTGTAAAAATTACAAGGTATCCATGTTTACTACACAAAATACTAATATAATACTAACCCAATTGCTCATTCTACATATTTGTTACCTAACAACAATTTCCTATGACTTTGACATATGTCAATGAATCAAAACATCCTGGTCCCTTGTAGCTTGTATCTGTAGAAAATAAATTTATGTCTTTTAAAACATAACCAAAAAGAAAATTCACCAGGGCCCACTACAAGGTGATGAATGATGTAATTATTAAAAAAAATCAAAGGGACGGTAATGCAGAGGAGCAAGAGGGAGATCAGATATTGGACTCGGGAGCAACTTCACAAGCATTCCTTTTCCCAAGGAGCTTTCCCTGATTGTGCTTGAGTGAGTCCCTGCTGGGGTGGGGGTGGCAGGACCTAGCATCCTCTGAGGACAGCTGTGACTGCTAGACTAAGAAACAAGGACACTTCAGTGTCAGTGGACAAGACTGTATTGAACTCACTACCCTCCTGCCTCAGCTCTTGAGTTCCTTTCTTGATGAAGAGAAAGAAATGTGTTGCTGAGCAATGGAAAGATGAAATCCAGCACCCAACTAGAGGGTGTCAGTTTAGACATGAGCAGGTGCACTGAGTGTGTGCAAGAGCTGTGGGTTGATGGCTTCCTCAATGAAGGAAGAAACTAATTAAAGACTACGGAGACGACTTAGTGGGTAAAGTCACTTCCTGCTAAACTTCATCACCCGAGTTAGATCCCAAAGCCCCAAATGGTAAGGAAATAGGATAGGTTCCTGAAAGTTATGATCTCACATTGTGGTCGAGCGCACACACGCGCACACACACACACACACGTTAAAAGTCTGTAATATAAAAGAAATTAAAGTTCAGAGTGAGACTTCACAATTATTATGAGGTCTCATGAGAACCCATTGTGCCATATTTGTTAGATTATGACTCTCGGTTTATTTAAGTTCATTGTTCAGCTGGGGAGGGATGTAGGAGTGGGAGGGGCTTCAGGACAGTGAATGCATAACAAGCAGCAGCACCTGCTATTGGTGAAGCATGTGATCAGGACAGACAGACAGCCGAAGAAGGGCCTCAGCCACCAGCAGCTCCAGCTAGGGGAGGAGTGGGAAAAACTCCTTAACAGATACTAACTTTTAAAAAAATCATTTTAAAGCTTTTCTCTAAATATTGGCCCCGTAGTCAAAGAATTCAGTGACTTCCCAGTCATTGAAGAACAAGTCCAAGTCTAAAAGCTGCACATCTTCCCAGACTAACTGCTCCCTTCCCATCTCCAACGCTCCAACTAAAGCCAAATTTAGTTTCTTCTGCTCTTGTCTACCTCACTGCTAACACAAAACCTCAAATGCCTGCAGCCTATTGAGACTCTTCACACTGCATACAGCTCCTAATCTGCAAGCCATAAAAGTCAATAAAGAACACTACAATATATCTATGCCCTCACCTCCCTGGTCCCATAATACTGCATATTACTTACAGACATAGGCCTAAATAAAAATAGGGCTTAATCCAAGAGTACCAGGCTATTTTCAACAGGTTTCTTCTTATTCCTCAGGTTAACTTTGCTAAAGAAGGCTTTGATAGCTCATCAATATAAGCCCATCATTCTATTAATAAGTCTTTACATTCCAAGAATACAAAGATCTCTATTGGATGCAAACTTGCCCTAATATCTAGAGACTCACTCCCCATTGTCCTACTGTCTTACACACAATCACTCATCATCCCACATGTCATTTCCATATGGTACAGAAACTCCAAGGTGCACTATCCTGATAGTGCACTATCTCTCCAGCACGAGTCTGCAGAAGACTGTACTCACCAGTTAGGTAGGAGAGCCCCAGCCTCCTGTTACTGTCTCTCCTTCTAGTCCTCTGCTTCTGCTGGAATTCCAAAGGTGCCCAAGGAATTAGGACGAGTCTCTCCCAGAGTTCCATCCTTATCTCCTGGTTACACATCCACTTGAGTTGTTTGGAAATTGGGTCATCCCAATTCTGCAATCTACATCCTAGATAGCATCTACACCATAATACAAACAGACTATAGGAAAATATTAGTAAATAGGAGCAATGCTAATGTGCCCCTAGTTTATCTCCCTA